CATGAGTTTGAGCCAACTCATTCGGGATTGATCATGCCTCCTTCCATATCTTGACCTTTAGGCATATATTATAGAAGATATCAAAACTATTTGCGGTCACCAATAACCAATAGTCATAGTTAGTAAAATATGGTACAGGAAACTTACGTATAAAATATGTACGGATATTTTATTTCGTCTTTAAACTAATGTTACATTTAATAATACGATTCATAGTAATAGATATATAAAATAAATTATTCCAAAAATAAATCAATATATATTATAGTAATTAGTAAAGTTAACATTTTAATTAATTAAATATGGATATTAAATGTGCTATACGAATTTTATTCGTATTTAGTACGAAAGCCATCAAATGAACGAGAAAAAAATAAAATGATTTGACAATAATATGAATACAAAAATTTTAAACGGGTTTAATACGTACTAAACAGGTATTTACTAACTATGCCAATAATTAAAGACAAAGTAAGAGTTCATACATAATAATGCGGCCCAGGCAAGTAATTAAGCCACCACGCATGCATGTTGCCCTAAACTAATCGAAGCATTAAAATACAGTTGACAGATAATTAAGAAGGGTCAGCTCTCATAATCTCTATAGATTAACAAGCAGTAATACCAAACCACTAATTGCATGATATATAGATGACTTATTAATTCAGTCAAACCCCCCACAGTTGAAGATATAAGACGTTATACAACTTAGTATACTATAGGACACTAATGAAACAACTATAGCCCATCATACTATTATACTAAGTATATTATTATTATTATTATTATTATTATAATTACAGCAGCTCGTCTCGTTCCCATGTTTGACCGTAATTAATTAGTATAATTTTTAATTAGCAGAGGATTATGGGGTCAAACTATAACACAAATCCTGTGCGCCTGTGTTTATTAAATTACTATTGTTCCCTGTTATTGGAATCATGCCGTCATCCGCCCTGGCTCATCAAATCATTGCCTGCGTCATCTCCCAATGTGAAAAACTTGGACTTTTGACTCATTCGCCTCGCATTTCTTAGGTCAGAGGAGTCCAAGTAAGCAGCGTTGAAGCTAATGTGGACTAGAACACTAGCTACATATCACTCGCTTAATAATAGACTATGTTTTTTCCCTGGGTAAAATCAATATGGTCAACCCATCAAGGCAATAAACTTTCCATTACCAAATAAATTTTTAAAATTTTTATAGAAGGGTACTATTTTAGTTGGTTTATTCAATTCAACGATTGACCAAAAGAAAATATTAATAGATTCATCTCTGATAAAAGAAGAAAGCGTAGAAAAGAAAGGATTTTTTTTTGCCTTTATGAGTTATGTATTTCAAATCGAGTAGTTGCTAAAATGATATAGGACTTGGAATCGGTATGGTTCATACCAGATTATATAGGCGATTTACGATTCAGATAGAGAGGCAGATGCTAGATTACGTACAGATCAGGGACCAACAATAATACTATACAATTCAGATCATACCATCTCTATATGCCCTCGTACAATCCGAAACTGCCTTATCACGTTGAGCAAAAAAAAAAAGAATAATTTTTTTGATGCACTACACAAAAAATCCAACCAATAATCGAGAAAAAATGGTTTTTCGCTTTAAGATCCATATTTCAATATACATGCATAATTTTTTACAAAATATAATCATATATATTTATTGAAAGAGAGACCATTACACCCTGGAAGTTAACCAAGCTACAAAATCAAAGAACCGACACGTAGTCGGGTACAATAAAAAGACGTGTTGCATTATAAGTGGTGGAGAATGTCACTACCCGGAATATTTTGACCGTGTTGACCATCTAAAAAATGAGTGCCTTCTAGTTAGCTTGTCACACAAGGGGTATAGGGGGCGACTCAAGCGATAAGGCGTTGTCTGCTCGTTCTCAGAGTCAGGATGTGACTATGACGAGGATCAGTGCTTGTGGGTAGGGGTGTTAATGAGTCAAGCTATTCGCGAGCGGCTCGGTCTCCAACTCTATAAAAGTTTGATTCGCTTATTAACGAGCCGAGCTTGAGCTCAGCCTTGTTCGGCTCATGAGGCTCGTGAACTAGCTCGATTAGGTGGCTTGTTGAGTTTGACTCATGAAACTATCTCATTTTGAGCTCATGAGATGTGTCGACATTGTAACTAGCGAGCCAACTTGATTACGATTTATATCTTATGAGTTGGTTTGTTAATGATGCATAGATTTATTAAATTGTATATCTCACCTCATGTTATGTTTAATAATTTGAGTATGTGAGCAAATATGTCTCACATATGACATGAAGACCAATTAATCACATGTAGCATATATGTCATAGTAAATTAGGGTACTTAATTTATAAATTATGTTAGAGTTGAGCTCGAGCTGAAATTTCAATCTTGAGCCAAGAATATTCAATAAATGAGTTGGCTCGTATTTCGATCGACTCATCTCATTCATAAACGAGTGGAGCTCGAGTTTGGCTCATTTATAAACGAGCTAAACATGAACAGGGCAAAGCTCAGTTCGGCTCGGCTCATTTATAGGCCTACTTGTGAGGCACAACTGATCGAGGGCTATTTGCCGCCTCCATGATGAGCTCAAACCAGGGCGAAACCAGTTGACATGCGAACACTACAAGAAAATCAGGCATTAGGGACAAAGATTATTGGCTTCTAAAAGTCATTTATTTGTTTCTGTATATCAATGGAGTCAAATAAGTTATTTGCATCGGACACCTCCGTCTCTAATTCCCTTTAGAAGCAGACGTAGTAGCAAATAATATCTGCGTCTAATTCCCGAATTAGTAACAAATTTTTTTATGACAATTCCACTTTTAAATTTCTACTTTTCTTTCTTTTAATTTGGTTTTAGAGACATATATTTTTGTTTGTAATATTAGTTTTTGAGAAAAATGTATTTGCTTCTAAAGATCTTACGGAGAGACAAATATTTGCCTCTACTGAGTATACTTTGAAGGAAATAATTTTGGTTTTATTTGAATTTTGATAAATTTATTTTGATGAAATATAATCTACTTTCGTGGCACATATATGATATATTTGCCTTTTTGGAGAAGGTACATGTAAAAATCGATAAACGCGGAAGCAAAACACAATCACAACACCAACATTTACGTGGTATCCCCGTACAAATCGTACTAGACTAATCCACGGAGAGGTTGTACCTCTCGGCTGAAGTTTTCACTAATCTGGGAATTCCCTCTTAGGGTTACAGCCGAACACAATGAAGGCTATTTATAGCCAGCTTCCCTTCACAAGCTACGTGGGAAACAAAACAGCAACAATAACAAAATCGTCCTTGATAAAAGTAAAGAGTACAGAAGAGGACTCCAACACTCCCCCTCAAGCGAAGGAGTGAATATCGAGAAGGCCGAGCTTGCCAGAGAGATGTTGAAACTGATCAACGCTCAAACCTTTCGTAAACATGTCTGCGGGCTGCTCAGCAGTGGGAATTTTGCGCGGAACGATGTCACAAGACTGAACACGTTCCCGCACAAAATAACAATCCATCTCTACGTGCTTGGTGCGTTCATGGAAGACTGGGTTAGCAGCTATGTGCAAAGCTGCCTGATTGTCACAAAATAACGGAGTAGGAGCTGAAATGGAAACACCAAGATCACGAGCAACCAACGCAGCGAGAGGACCTCAGCTTCGGCTGAAGAACGAGCAACCACAGTTTGCTTCTTAGTGCGCCATGAAATGGGAGAAGCACCAAGAGTAATGAAATAGCCAGTCGTCGAACGACGAGTCACGGGGCAACCCCCCCCCCCCCCCCCCCAATCTGCATCACAAAAGGCTGTAAGAGTAAGTGATGAAGAGGCGGGGAAGAAAAGGCCACGGCCAGGAGTGGATTTCAAGTAACGGATGACACGAACAGCAGCATCCTCATGCGCTTTTGTGGGCGCTTTCATGGCCAGACTAAGAACGTTGACTGCATAGGTGATATCAGGGCGTGTAACAGTGAGATAGAGTAAACGCCCTACTAGCCGGCGATAAGCACCAGGGTAAACAGCTGGAGGAGAGTCGAGACGACCGATGTGATGTTGCTGCTCAATAGGAGTAGAACTAGGACGAGCCGCCTCAAGACCTGTATCTGCTAGAATGTCCAAGACATATTTGCGCTGATTCAAGACAATACCACGGGGTGATCGAGCAACCTCGATACCGAGGAAATACTTCAACGGACCCAGATCCTTAATAGTGAACTTCTCATGAAGGAAGTCCTTGACGTGAGCTATGAAAGCCAAATCCGTACCAGCCAGGATAACGTCGTCGACATAAATAAGGGCAGCAACATAAGTGGAAGCACGCCGATAAATAAACAGGGCATGATCGGCCCTGCTCTGAACAAAACCAAGAGTGAGGAGGGCCTGGGTAAACTTCTGGTACCAGTTGCACGAGGCCTGGCGCAAACCATAAATAGACTTGTGTAACCGACAGACACGAGTCTCCCCAGGCTGAGCAAAACCTTGAGGTATCGCCATGTAAACCTCCTCATCGAGATCGCCGTGGAGGAAAGCATTATTCACATCAAGCTGATGAATATGCCAATCACGAGTCGCGGCAACTGAAAGGAGACAGCGAACAGTAACAAGTTTGGCCACGGGAGCAAACGTGTCATGATAATCAATCCCTTCAATTTGAGTATAACCCTTGGCAACGAGACGAGCTTTGTATCGCTCGACCGAACCATCAGGATTGAACTTCACTTTGAAGACCCACTTACATAAAATCCAACGTTTGCCGGGAGGAAGTTGAACAAGCGACCAAGTACCATTGGCAATCAACGCATCGATCTCTCGCTGCATGGCGTCACGCCAATGTTTATGTCGAACCGCCTGAGCAAAGGTGGTTGGCTCTTTCACAGAAGTAACAGCCGCAACAAACGCATGGTGCGCAAAGGAGAGACGGTCGTAGCTAAGAAAATCCTCAAGAGGATACTGAACTGAAGCTAAGTTTGCAGCGCCAGGAAGCTCAACATCATAACCATGGAGCCGAGTGGAACGAGTACGGACCCGATCACTCCTACGAAGAATGGGATCAGGCCGCAATGGAGGATCGGCCTCCAGAGTTGGGACGGTGTCTGGAGCGGGAGAAGGCGAGTAGGCTCCGCTCCTTCCTTGTCGTCAACTAGAGGAGTAGGGGAGCTGGGCCGCGGAGGAGAGCTGCTCGCCTCTGCATGCAGCTCATGCTACGCGGGAGCAGGAGACGCGACTTCTTGGGAGTCACTCACGTCCGCAGCACCGGAAGGTGTGGAAGGAGAACGGACAGGAGCATCTTCCTCGAAAACGGGAGGAGAAATACCAAAATGAGGACGAGAAACCACCTCTGGAGTGAGCGATGCAACCTGACCAAGCTCACGATAAGGAAAGGCCTCTTCCAAAAACCGAACATCCCGAGAAGTATATATTTGACGCTTCTCGATATCATAAACTCGGTAGCCCCGTTGATTCAAAGGATACCCAAGAAAGATACCAGCTCGGCCTCGATCGGCAAACTTATGCAGGCCGTGATGGTTGTCCCGAGCATACACAAGGCAGCCGAAGCTCCTAAGGTGGCTGTAAGAAGGATCAGTACCAAAAAGCATCTGGTATGGCGACTTATTTCCAATGCTAACAAGAGGCATTCTATTAATCAAATACGCCGCGGTGAGGGCACACTCGCCCGAAAACTTCAAGGGCAGGTTCGCGTGAAATCGAAGGGCCCGGGCAGTATCTAAAAGATGACGATGCTTGCGCTCAACCACTCCATTTTGCTATGGAGTATCAGTGCAGGAGGTCTGCAAAACAATGCCATGCTCCTCATAATATGCAGCCAAGGTGGCAGTGGAAAATTCCGGACCATAGTCGGCCTGGATACGACAAACCTGTTTAGCAAACTAAGTGCGGACAAGGTTGCAGAAGTACAGTAAGTAGCGACCAACGTCTGACTTATGACACATCAAGAAAACCAAACAGCGCTACTATAGTCATCAACGATGGTTAAGAAATAGTGGGCACCAGAAGTAGAAGTTGTCTTATAACTGCCCCAAATATCAATGTGAATAAGCTTAAAAACCGATTTGGTTTTAATAGTACTAGATTCAAAAGAATTTCGAGTCTACTTAGCCCGCAAACAAGACCGACAAGGCTCACGTGACTGAATAAAAGAACAATCAACTAATGGCTCCAAAATGTTAAGCTTCGCCGATGACGGATGACCCAACCGCGCATGCCACAACTCCGTATCACTGAGAGAACGACGAACAGAATGCGCCACCGGATGCGCGCCATCAAGCAGCTTAAGGTAGTACAACCCATCAACATGCTTACCCATCCCAATCAGCCTCTTGGAGGGTAAGTCCTGAATCACACAGAAGTCATTCAAGAAGATTAAGGCAGCCTGAAGATCCGCTGTCAGGCGACTGACTGAGAGCAAGTTGCACTGAAAATCAAGAACATGTAGAACACGACCCAAGGATAAATCATGAGATAATTTGCTAGTTCCAATATGATGAACCTTAACCCCTGTGCCGTTAGGAATCTTAACCTGTAAATTCGGAGACGAGTCCAACTCGGCATCCAAAAGAGAATAATTATTAACTATGTGTTCCGTACAACAGGAATCAATGACCCAAGTAGAAGAGCCACCAGAGAACTTACCCTCCATGTTTGAGGAAGGCTCAAGGGGGGTGGAAGCTTGCTTCAAATCACTCAGCAAGAGCGACCGGAGTTGGGATAATTGAGTTGCGGAGAGGCCTGGCAGAGGGCTGTTGTCCGAGTCGACCTGCGCTGCTTGCGGGTGTGGTCGAGCCACATTCTCGCTGTGATGCTTCGACGGCTCCCCTTTGTCACCAGTCTTCGGCGGGAAACCAATGAGACGATAGCACGTCTCGTGAAGATGCCCAGTCCGCAATCAGTGTGTGCAGCGGGGCTTACCATCCGGATCACGATCGCCATGATCTCGATCACGATCACCCGAAGGAGAGGAACCAGCAGCGCGTCTCTCCCCCTGAGCCTGGAACACCGCAGCTTCAGAACGCGATCGACGGCTGTGAGAGATTTGGCGTTGCTGCTCGTCGTTAATGACCAGTTGGTATGCTTCGCCAAGTATAGGAACTGGCTTCATGGCAAGGATTTGAGACTTGAACGTGCTGAAAGCATCATCCAAACCCATCAAAAAATCAAAGAGTCGCTCCCCTTCACAAACCTCACGTTGCCGACGTTTCACGTCGCAATGACAGCCCGCGCAGGTACAATCAAGCGAAGGTTGAATAGACTGAATTTCATCCCAATGACCTCGGAGTTTGGTATAAAACGCCGAGACTGACATCTTTTCTTGCTGAAGACTGATAATGGTGCGCTTGAGCTCATAAAGGCAAGATGTGCTACCTTGTCCAAACCGAGATTGCAAATCCACCCAAATTTCACGTGCGGTATTTGCAAAACGAACACTATTACGTACCTCTTTAGACATAGACGTCTTAAGCCAGCCCTTGACCATGGCGTTGCAATGCCCCAAAGCCTCTCGCTCACCCGAAGTGACAGCCGGCGGCAGAGTACCATCAACAAAGCAGATTTTGTTCTTTGCGACGAGTGAATCCATGATATCAACCACCCACTCGCCATAATTAACATCGGTAAGCAGTTCCCCAACAAAGAGATTATTAGGGCTCTCAGATTGGTGAAGCTGAAGATGGGACGGGAGACTAGCCTGATCATCAGCAGCCGACTTCAACTGGGAAGACTCAACGGCCGACTTGGATTTGCTAGAAGAATCATCGTCCAAATCAACCATGATTAGAAGCTGTGGATCTCTTCACAGCTCTGATACCATGTAAAAATCGATAAACGCGGAAGCAAAACACAATCACAACACCAACATTTACGTGGTATCCCCGTACAAATCGTACGAGACTAATCCACGGAGAGGTTGTACCTCTCGGCTGAAGTTTTCACTAATCTGGGAATTCCCTCATAGGGTTACAGCCGAACACAATGAAGGCAATTTATAGCCAGCTTCCCTTCACAAGCTACGTGGGAAACAAAACAGCAACAATAACAAAATGGTCCTTGATAAAAGTAAAGAGTACAGAAGAGGACTCCAACAGTACACACCATTCAATTTTTATAAAACAGGAACAATAATATTAAATTCAATTAGATTTTTTTCATTACATTACTTTTAAAATAGTAAAATACCAACTATTTTCTTATAATACGTGAATACATCCTTTTAATACAATAAAACACTCTAAATGAATACATCCAAGACCTAATCGAAATCTTTGAGCAATGAAAAGTAGCCATCACCACGTTTCTATTACATCTTTACTTCACTCATTGATGAACCCCTCAACTGCTGGAGCAAGCTAGACAAGGCGAATCATGGATCTGGCAAATTTCCAAAGAGAAAACCGAGAAAGAAAACTAATAATTGAACTAAAATAATCTGTGAAATCCCTTCAAGCCGCTTGCACTCCGCTTTCCTACCGTCAATTGGTGCCCACCGTTCTTTCCTATTGACGCGATTGAGGAGATGGTGGTTTGAGGGATGACGAAAACAATGACAGTCGCGGCTAGGAGCGTCGGGTTGTAAGATGGGAGATGACGTCTGGCTGAGGGAGATGAATGATGGCGTAGAACACCAACGCTTACTCCAACCGAATTATCACCACCGAGATTCTTCGGTCTTGACGACTCTATTCGGACGGAAACCAATTGGATACTTCCGGTCCCTGGAGGAGAAGAAGCTAGTAACATTCGTTTTTATCGTACAAAGCCAAATCTGAAAACACACAGAAGAAAAATCTTATCGATTACCCCATAAAAATTGACTCTTATGCAGCAAAATTACATTTACCTCCGAAACCCTCAAACCAATAGTCATCGTTGATTGAAATGATGGTTGTTTAAGTGGATAATCGTGACGGCTAAGAAGGTTGGTTGGGAAGAAGAGATATGGCAGCTTGAGGGAGATGAAGCAGCAGCGGCTGGGGCTGAGAAGGTTGGTAATTTGATACAATTTCTTTTCTTCTAATTATGCAAAATAGCCTAGTTCCTCTCCCAATATGGCGTAGGTCGAGTGTGCTTCGATCCTATTCCAGAATGAGAGGCATACCTAGGTGTGTATCAGGCGGTCTGGAACGTAGATACACATGTATTGAGCCATTGTGGGGGACCTCAACATGCAGAGGATGCAGCGACCGAGCGAGGAACTAACGCTAGCGAGAGCGTAGGGTGAAGGTCGATTGAGGTACTAACGGTGAGAGAAGCATATGGTGAAGGTTGACTGAGGTACAGACGCAACAGAAGCGAAGAGTGAAGGTTGATATCAAGTGGTGACGAGCTCGAGCCGAAATTTCAATCTTGAGCCAAGAATATTCAATAAATGAGTTGGGTCGTGTTCGGATCAAGCTCATTCATAAACAAACTAAAATTGAGTTTGGCTCATTTATAAACAAATAGAACTTGAACAAGACAAAGCTCGCTTCGGCTCGGCTCGGCTCATTTACAGGCCTACTTGTGGGGCACAACTGGTCAGGGGCTATTGCTGCCTCCGTGATGAGCACAAGACAGGGCGAAATCAGTTGGCATGCAAATATGGAGAAGGTTGGTCTCGAGTCTGTGAGAGCCTCAAGACGTCGCACGGGCTTTGGAAGTCTCGTCCTGTGACAAGTGATATCAGAGTCCGGTTAGGCAGAATAGCCTAGTTCCTCTCTCAGTATGGTGTAGGTCGAGTGTGGGCCGATCCTATCCCAAAATGAGAAGCTGTCCTGGGTGTGTATAAGGTGGTCTGGAAAGTAGATACACATATATTGCGCCATTGTGGGGGACCTCGACACGTAGTGGATGCAGCGACCGATCGAGGAACTAACGCTAGTGAGAGCGTAGGGTGAAGGTCGATTGAGATACTAACGCCCTGCTTAGGGTGAAGGTTGATTGAGGTACTGAAGCAGCAGAAGTGATGAGTGAAGGTTGATGTCGAGTGGTGACACGGTATGTGCAAGGGGCACAACAGGCTAGCGCGAGAGATGTGAATTGAGACTGTCATCAGGGGATGGTACAGTATGCGAAGGCGTACGATCAGTTCGAGTGTTTCAATACATGATGCAGAGAGAATTATTCTTCCCCAACATGAGGACCTAATGCATTATGAGTGATGGAGAATGTCACGACTCATAATGTCGTGACCGTGTTGACAATCTGAAAACGCGTGCCTTCTGTTTAACTTGCCACACGAGGGGTAAAGGGGACGATTCTAACGATAAGGCATTGTCTGCTTGTGCATCGTTCTGGCCGAGTTAAGATGTGACTAGGATGGGGATTGTTGCTTGTAGGGCACAACTGGTCGGGGCTACTGTCACCTCCCTGATGAGTCCAGGGTAGGGCAAAACCAGTTGTAATGCGTATGTGGAGAAGACTGGTCTCGAGGTTAAAATATTAATTTTGAAAAGTGAGGAATGTAAAAGTATTCGACGAACATTAGATTCTCGTTACTATTATGCTATTGGTTCTGGAATCACATAATGATTGAATTGTGTTCTAGCCGAGACATGCGATATGTGTACTACCCGAGACATAGAGAGGTAAATCAAATGGCCATTGGAGTGAATTAAAAAACACTATGGACATGTATGATACGTGATATGCATTATATGTATATATATCAAGATCCCACTTGAGCTCATGAAAGGATTGAATTTTTCAGCAATTATGGCTTTCGCCTGCTACTCTCTCTTCCTCATTTTGTGCTTCATAGTTTATGTTGCCCCTTCTTTTGGATCCACTATTGCAGATGAGCCATTGCCTCCACACCTTCCTCTTGGAGGTGCAGATTGTGTCAATCCCCTCTACGACATGAAATCGAAGTGTTCGGGCTACATTACGAAGAACTACACCATGACGGTACGCACAGACTTCTGCTGCAACACGCTATGAATTGTGTTCTCATATCCAGAATGTTTGTGCGAGATCTTCTTAGTGGTGGATATATTGATTTCGACATTGATATCACTAAAGGATTTGCCACTTTTGAGCTCGATTCAAAATTTCGATATTGAGCCAAGAATATTCAATAAATGAGCTGGCACTTGTTCGGATTGACTAAGCTCATTCATAAACGAGTCAAGCTCGAGTTATGTTCGTTTATAAACGAACCAACCCTGAACAAGGCAAAGCTCGGTTCAACTTGGCTCATTAACAGGCCTACTTGTGGGGTAGAAATGGTCGGGGGCTATTACCGCCTCCGTGATGAGCCCAAGGCAGGGTGAAACCAGTTGGCATGCGAATGTGGAGAATGTTGGTCTCGAGGTTGCGAGAGTGCCTAAACGCCGCACGGACTTTGGAAGTCTCATCTAGGGATGGCAATGGGTCGGGTTGGGGCGGGTTTTGTCAAACCCAAACCCATGGGTTTATCCGCCAAAAAAACCCGGGGTAAAACCCGTTGGGTTTGAAAAACTCAAACCCAACCCGCTGGGTATCCGCGGGTTCATGGGTACCCGTGGGTTTTTGTGGTAAAAATTTACAATAACAAGTTTCTTTCAAAATAAAAGTTTAACATCAATTTTCTCATACAAATTAATCATACAAAAAACACCAATCTAGAGCATATAAGCAAACTGCAAATGATCAATACAAATTGTTCAAAATTAAAGATAAACATATATAAACAATAAGATTAATTGAAAGCTTCTTCCTCGTCAACTAAGTTTCTTCACTCTCCACTTCATAATATCAACTTCATTCTAAACAATTAGAAAGAACAAATTATACATGTCTCCACAAACATATAGAATATTAGTTATTTAAGGAAGATATATTATTTAGAATATTAAATATACCGGGAAAGTAATTATATGTGTGTGGGCGGGTACCCATGGGGCGGGTTTACCTAAACCCAAACCCAACCCGACCCGGTGAATAGTGTAGCGGGTTTAAACCCGAACCCGGCCCAAAACCCGTCAACACGTGTTTTACCCGCGTTGACCGGGTTGGGTCGGGTGGGTACCTGTGGGTTCGGATTTTGTTTCCATCCCTAGTCTCATCCCGTGACAAGTGGTATCAGAGTCTGGTTAGGGAGAAGAGCCTAGTTCCTTTCTCAGTATGGAGTTGGTTGAGTATGGGCCGATCCTATGCCGGAATGAGAGGCGGTCCTGGGTGTGTATTAGGTGGTCCGGAACGTAGATACATATGTATTGCGCCATTTTGAGGGACCTCGACATGTACAAGATACATCAACCAAGCGAGGAACTAACACTAGCGAGAGCATAGGGTGAAGGTCGATTGAGGTACTAACAGTGGGAGGAGCATAGGGTGAAAGTTGAGTGAGGTACGGACGCAGCAGAAGTAAAAAGTGAAGGTTGATGTCGAGTGGTGACGTGGTATGTGCGTGGGGCACAACAAGCTAGCGCGAGAGATGGGAATTGAGACTGTCTATCAGGGGATGGTACTGTATGCGAAGGGCCACAATCCGTTCGAGCGTTGCAATAAATGGTGCGGAGAGAATCATTCTTCACCAGCACGAGAACCTGCTGCATTATGAGCAGTGGAGAATGTCACGACTCGGAATGTCATGACCTAGGGGTGGCATGCAGTTTGGTAAACCCAAATGGATTCGAACCGAAACCAATCCATACTACGCCGAAACCTAACTAAAATTAATCGGTACGTAATTTTAAAGAAACAACTTAGTTGGAAACCAGGGTCTGGTCGACCGAACTGATATTCCAAAATTTGAACCGAAAACCGAAAAAATAAACCCAACCCACATATTATTTTTAAGCCCACTTTCCCCAAACCTTTACCCTAGCCCCTCAAACATCACAACCCACCCAAACACATTCACTCGCAGACCCAAGCCCACCCAAACACACTCCCACAACCACAACCGTCACAGGCCGAAGCCCAAACAAAACACTCTCTAATCTCTACACCCTCCCCTCTTCAACTGCTAACCCGAAGAAGGAAGACAACGCACAATGAGAAAGACAAGAGGATCCCGCCGTCGCATCCGCCGAAACTAGCATCACCGAATCATCTCTTCTCTTCCCTTCTCTTCAATCTCACCGCAGACAAACACATGCAGACGACATCAACTGCTAGAACAAACCAACGATGCAGGCAGGGGAAGATCGGCGTGGATAAGGAGAAATCAGCGAGGTAGACGCGCCGAATCTAGCATTTTCATGCGGCGAAACTCGTTGAGACCACCGATTGAAGTTCCGACCATTGATATTCTACATCGCGACCCTCTCGATCTGCTTGGTTCTAGTCGAGCTTGTCGCCAAAGCTCGAAGTGGTGGTCAGTTGGGGGAGTCGGCGAGAGGAGGCGGTGGTCATTTGGGGGGGTCGAGGAGAGAGGGAGGAGGCGGTGTCGAGTTAGAGGAGTTAGGGAGAGGGAAGTGTGAACTGGGAAGCAGGTGGGTGGTCTTTGACTCGTCTCTTTAAGGTTTGGGTTTTGGGGGAAGGCAAATGTGAAGCCTCGGGTTGGTCGGGTTTACCAAACCGAACAGACATATATTCCGATTCAGATTGACCGAACCAAAATAGATTTCGGTTCGAGTTCGGTTTGACCTGTAGAGTGTTTTGGGGATCCTGTATGCTTCATTTCGGTTTAGTTTCGACCGAACCAAACTGGTGACCACCCCTATCATGACCGTGTTGATCGTCTGAAGAACGCGTGCCTTCTGCTTAGCTTCCCACACGAGGGATAAAGTGGGCGACTCTAGCGATAAGGCGTTGTTTGCCTATGCATCATTCTAGCCGAGTCAGGATGTGACTATGACGGGGATCGTTTCTTGTAGGGCACAACTGGTCGGGGGTTATTGCCACTTTCTTGATGAGCCCAAGGCAGGACGAAACCAGTTGGCATGCGTATGTGGAGAAGACTGGTCTCGAGGTTAAAATATTAATTTTGAAAAGTCAGGAATGTAAAAGTAGTTGAAGAACATTAGATTCTAGTTACTATTATGTTATTGGTTCTGGAATCACATAATGATTGAATTGTGTCCTAGCCGAAACATGCTATATGTGTACTAGCCGAGACACATAGAGGTAAATCAAATGGCTATTGGAGTGAATTAACAAACCCTACAGACATGTATGATACGTGATAGCATATATATATATGGTGGCGTCTTGGGTGCACTCACTTTTTTGGTGCATTCAGTGCACTCGCTTCATAACCGTTATTTTAAACATGCGATTTATGTCAAAATGATGTCAATCATCACTTATGATGTGATGAACAATAACGCACATGAATTTGCACAAAAACCATTAAAGATTTACTTTAATTTGAAGGATTTAGAGTTTAGAGATTTAGGGTTAGGGTTTATAATTTGGGATTTAGGGATAGAACTCAAAATTGGAGGTCTAGAGCTTAGGGTAATATGCTAATTAGTTGTTATCATATGTTATATCATCATATTACACTAATTTTACAAATTAAATTTCAAAATCCAACACCTTAAGACTAGTTTTTGAGTTGGGTGCATTGAACGCACTCATTTTTGTGAGTGCACCAAAGTAATCACCTTATATATATATATAGGGTAAATACAATTTAATATCCAAACCTTTCATTTTAAACAATATAATAGCCAAACCTTTTCGAAAACAATCTAATCTCCAAATCGTCAACTTTCCGTTCGTTTGACCGTTAGTTGATACTTCAAAAAAGCTTTGTTTTAGGGGAAATTGTCACAATACAACTTCGTTTCTTGTTTTGGCATTGCAGATGACTGAATATTGAGATATTCTATACCATCATGGTGGGGTCATGGACTTCTCAGGTTTGGAACTACGATATGTTGGTGGTTTTTCAAAGAAGATATCGATGGATATTGATGAAATGTCGTACTTCGAACTTTTATGAAGTTTCAACTAACGGTCAAACAGACAGAAAGTTGACGATTTGGATATTAGATTGTTTTCGAAACGGTTTGGCTATTATATTGTTTAAAATAAAAGGTTTGGATATTAAATTGTATTTACCCAGTCCACTTGAGCTCATGAAAAAGGATTGAAATTCCTGCAATTATGGCTTTGCCTTGCTACTCTCTCTTTCTCGTTGTGTGCTTCAGAGTCTCTGCCGCCCCTTATTTTGTATCCACTACTGCTGACTGGTTTCGACATGAATTCCAAGTGTTCGGGCTACATTAGGAAGAACAACACCATGACGATACCGGACTCCTGCTCCCATACGCTTGATGGGTGTTCTCAAGATATCCGGTTTGTGCGATATCTTCTTTAGTGGTGGATATATCTATTTCGACATTGATATCACTTGGATAGAATGATTTAGATTTGATATTTGTGATTTGGATTTCCAAATATCAAATCGTGTATATTTGGTATCTGGATTTTTGTCAAATTCATGCGGTGATTTCCAAATACATGTCATGTATTACTTGTCAACTTCGAATGCATTTCAACAACTAGTGATTTGAAATACCTCCTAACAAAAAAGTTGACCTATTTGTAAAATATTAAAAGTTTAGGTATTATAGTGTGAAGCAAAACATATAAAGGTACCAAAACGTAGTTTTACCATCAAAATTTTAGGATCTTTTTGTAAAATTTATAAAGGCACCAAATATAATTTACCAAAATTTGTAGTAAGTGACCAGAAAATTCAAAATGATAATAAAAAATAATAAAAATAAAAATGCAAAAAAATTGCAAATCAGTATATATCCAAACAACGAATTTGAATTACATGTATTTCAAATGCTAGTACTTCTAGCTACAATCCTTCGGGATGATATTATTGATACCACTTTCAAGCGCAACATTGCGGTCCGCTCTGCCCCTCTCTATAATCCCCTCATATACCCCTCTTCTTCCCCTTATATATGGTAATGACTGGTATACTACAGGAATATAATATACTCCATGTGTGCACTGAGTTTTTTGGGTGCATTCAATTCACCCAATTCTAAAACTGGGCATAATATATACATAGAATTTTTAAATTTAATTGGTAGCATTACTCTAATATAATGATATAACATAGAAACACAACTAATCAATACATTACCCTAATTCATTAACTTACAATTTTGAATCTCAACCCAAAATCCCAAATTGTAAACTTAAATCTCTAAACCCTAATCCATTCAAATTAAAGTAAATTTGAATAATTTTTGTACAAATTCTTGTTTTTTTTTTGTCTATCGTATCACAAGTGACAGTTAACATCGTTTTCACATAAATCGCCAACTCAAAATGACCATTACGGGTGTCCATTATCGTAGAATAACAAGGCAGGAACATGATTAAGTCTTTGTTGACACATGCAATGCAACAACCACTAACAATAACCTCTACAGGTTGGATTTTACACTCAGCTGCAATGAGTGTCCATCTACAGATAGAAGAACAAATCAACAAATACGTGGGAGAGATCGAGAGAGAATCATCGAGTATTGCCAAAACTCCAAATGCATGCCCTGTTGGGATGAATAGTTTTGAAAAGCTATATATGAAATTTCTAATTAATTATCTAGTATTTTTCATAATACATAAATAAGATGGATAATTAATAAAAGGAATATTATGGAGATAATTAGGAATAATTATCTTAATAGATTATATTTTAATTATGGGAGTAATTATCTTCCTAATTAAAATATGACTTATTCCCAAAGAAAGAGGGAATATTCTGGATTTTCTGCTCCTATAAATAGGAGAAGCCCCAGACCCTCTAAACACACCTCAGAAGAGCAGAAACACGAGATAGAGAGTGAGTTCATAGAGCTCCGGTTTTCGCACAAAACCGATGAGCAACAAATCAGAATGGTTGTTTTATCCTGGAGGCGACCGACTGATAGTCTGCTGTGCGCAATACGAGGCAGTGCCGCGAACGTCTTAAAGAGAGCGACCTAGTCCGCGACTCAACCAGATCGGTAACCCTAATTTTTCCTGTTCGGTATTTAACAATTTTAAAACGTTCGTTTGCTGTCCATGTATACCGAACAGGATGCCGATACTGGCTAGATCAATTACTATCGTCGTTCGCTCGGAAAAAAAGGGGACTATTGCACTGTGTCCGCGACACAACACACTTGTATTTCTATTCCCATACCGATCGCGATATGAGCTCTTTGTGCGAGAACCGTGCCTCACTTCACATTCCCAATTGAGTTATGATATCCGGTGGCCGAATTGTGGGTGGTAACTCAACTGACTAACCCACCTAACCCCACTGGTGGACATAGTCGTAAGAAGAACAAGGAGAACTCGGTAATCGCCGAGAGGAGGAGGAGAACACGGAACTCCAATGCTAGGAGCGGACCGGGCTTATTCGTATGTTTGGGCAAAAGTGGGGGTCTCTCCAGTTGATTGTTAAATTGGGCCTGGTCTTGGTAAGGCCACTCCACAAATGGCCTAAGACGAAATAAAGGAAAAAATTCCTTTCATCGTTGCAGCGATCAAAAAAGGGAAAACTTCAGAACCTATCTCTGCATTTATTTGATTTGCTTGATTCTACAATTTAGTATCTTATCGAATGCACTAATACGCCTATTTACTTAAATCTTTATGGCCTATAGTGTTCGTTGAAGGAGAATTGTGGTATGATTAATTCATTCCTCATATCCACTAACTATTCCCAGAGCAAAGTGGGAGCTATTAAAATTGATCTTGGCCATGAAATCAAGGGGGAAGTATCGTAACCAGTAAAGCAGGGAGAGGAGAAAAGTGGAGAGACCCAACTGATTTCATTGATGGACAGTGGAATGGGACCTCTACTTCAGAGATGAAAGAAGAATCGTTAGAAAATTGAGAAACAAGGAAGCCATGCTTAGTGCTAGCTATACTACGAAATTCAGAAGACAACTTCTTCAGAAAAGAGGTAAGATTTTTATCTTACTTGTGAGTCATTTATGAATGATAAGATTAGAATCTATTTCTATGCATGCAATTGACAAACTCATGTGAATGCAAGAAAGTAAAACTAGAATTAATGCATGTTTATGTTGACATTGAGATGTGGTGTCTCAATGATTAGAGTGTGCATTGAATACATGCTACGGAAAGAATATATGATTTTGTCTAAATGTGTGCATTGAAGAATATATGGGAATAGAATGGGTTTATTGCCCATAATAACGATATTGTAAGAAGTACTATTATTAGTACTACACAAACCACTTAGGCTGCTCTGAGACATAAAAGTTTCAAGAATGAGAGCAGCAAGCCGAACCAGATCCATACCAAATAGAATGGTACCCTTTGTTGTAACCATAAGATGGCCACCCAATCCTCTAAGAATGACGCTATGTTTCTCTGTTAAACACGAAAGTGTGAGAACAAGTTTAACCTAGTGTTAACTTGACTAAATAAGAGGATTTGGTGGTAATAATCACTAATGGAGTGATAGGCCTTAATGGCAATTCTGAAATAATGGTGGTTGGATATACGACGCCTCAAGGCTTGCATCTGATAAAGTAGTTAAGCTCAATCATGCATTGAGGCGTATTGAAGGAGAAAGTGTTGTTGGGCAAGACCCTCACCACTATTGTTGTTGGTTCTGGGAAAGTGGAAGAGAACCCTACCTCTAGAAAGTCATTGACTATCCTAGACGTAAGGAATGGTAATTAGATAAGATAAATTCTTCCAAGTGTGTCTGTGTGAAGAATTAGAATATCTTATATCACATTCCCATATTATTATTGGATGCTTGAGAAAATATGAATTTTGTGTATCCAAGTTAAATGACCCATAAATATGTGGTTAGAAAATCAGAATCGATAGATCTGATTTATTTTGATATGGGTAAACGTGATAGAAAGACAAATAGATGATTTATTGCTCTATAGGGAGCTATGATAGGGTGTCTGATAATTTTAGATGCTTATTTGAAATGATTTGAAATGTTTTATCGTGTAATGAGTTCACTGATTATTTGATGCATATGTTGCATGCTTCTGGTAGAAGAATCAGTGTAATATGATGACTATTAGAGCATATTAATGTGTTTTAATTGGTTAAACAATATTAAAACACATAAACCTATGAAATGAATACTCATTGTGTTGTGGAGTCCATTAATGCCAATAAATTTTCATTTGAATTAAGAAATAGTGGGGGTGATATCCTACATACTATTAGAAATAATGGAACTAGTGGGGGTAGTGAATCTGTGTATGAACTCAGAAGAAGCAAACAAACCATAAATCGATAAAGGATTTTGGTTATGAGTTTGTTATTTACACCCTAAGAAAGATCCTACAAGTCTGCTAGAAGTTCAAACTTCTGTAAGGTGCAGATTTGTGGGAAGAATCCATTATTAATAAAATGAAATAATGAGAGTCTAATAAGACTTAGAAACTTGTAGAGTTACCTTTTGGTTGTAAAGCCTTAGGTAATATATCGATTAAATCGAACAAGTTTTGGCATCATTGAGAATTACCTCCTGGCAATGAAGCAAAGGTAATAAATGGATTCTCAAAAGAAAACTGAAACCTAATGGTTTAGTTTATGAGTATAAGGATCGCCTAGTAGTTAAGACTTAAGGCGAAAAGGAAAAAATTGTAGATTTTCTTGATATCTATTCACCAAATCTAGCATAACATCCATGTATGGTCTAGATGTTAAAATTGCATTTTGTGAATGGTGATTTAGATAAGGAAATCTAGAATGAGACAACCTAAAAGGTTGTTATTCCTGAACATGCTTTTACAGTCTGTTTCAAATCATACCATGATCATGGCATGGATGGTTCTCTCTCATGGTTTTAAAAGTGAAAGTGACAAGTGCATTTAGTACAAATTTGAGAATGACACTTGCATTATGAATGACACGTCGATCTTTGGTACAAAGACTCGTGATGTCAATATTGAAAAACCATGATGTTTGAGAATTTTGAATGTTCTCGATGAAGCTTGTGTAAGCTAGGAGATCCATGTAACTATGACAATGAATAGATTTCCTCTAGATCAGTTTAACTACATAGTTAAGATCTAAAAGAAATACAAGCAGTATGCCTGCATAAATGGTTGATGATGCTAGTGTAAATATTAAGAACACTGGAAACGGTGTGAGAAACTGAGAAAGTTAGAATGTACTAGCATCGACAGTCTGCGTGAGGCAGCTGATAAACATGAGACCCGACATAGTGGGGGTACTTGGCAAGCTTACTTATTGTCCTAGTATGAAGCATTGAAATGTTATTGAAAGGGGTCGTGAGACACCTTAAAAGAACAGAAAAACCTTGGTATTTGTTATCAAAGGTTTTGCTGTATTGGTAGGGTATAGTGATGCGGATTAGAATACCCTACAGAGGACTCCAAGACAAGATGTTTTAAACATCGATAGAGAAGCTATGTCTTGGAAGTCTAAGAAGTAAACGATCCTGGCTCAATCAACTAAGAAATCAGAAATGATAGAACTAGCAATGGCTAGTAAAGAGGAAAGTTGATTGAGAGGGTCACTACTAGAGATTCCCTTATGGGAAAGAGCGATCCCTCCGATAGTTGATTCATTGTGATAGCCGCCGCAACTATTACTAAAGAAGGGAGCCGGTTCTAGAATGAAAAGAGACGACAAATTCGTCGTAAGCACAGTACTGTAAGAGAACTCCTAATGATAGGAGCAATGAGGGTGGATCATATAAGATCCTAATAGAATCTAGTTGATCCTTTGACGAAAGGATTATCTAGAGAGAAAAGTCCAAAATACCACGAAGGTATGAGACTTATGCCTACCGAACCATGGATTACAAGTGATGGTAACCCGACCCGATAGACTAGAGATCCCAAGAAACGGGTTCAATGGGTAATAACAAGTCATGAGTAATATTGAGAAAAGTTCATGCATGGTGAAGCATGAATCCCAAAGCCTTGGAGGTTGAGTTAAACTCTTAATGAGATCTATACTCTATGTGCAGTGAAGTACTTTACTGTGGGGTACTTCTGATAGACTCACCTATGTGAATGTGGGAGTGAGGCCGCTCCCTATGGAACTTTGGAGGCACATAGTTGCTAGAGCGTTCACTAAACCGGGATAACGTGCGTGGCCATAAACGCACGGCCTATGAGAGAATATCACTCAATGAAAGTATCCGGTGTGCTACATTGTCTGAGATAGGGTTCAAGACTACGAGTCACCCTTATGAAATCGGAAGTGTAACCACTACGCTAAGGTTCAAATCTTCGCGATACCTTAGCTTATGCCCGATCTTATGGAACTGTTGATGCTCAAGATAGTTTCAAAACTATTCAAGTGGGGATTGTTTGGATGAATAGCTTTGAAAAGCTATAAATGAAATTCCTAATTAATTATCCAGTATTTTCCATAATACATAAATAAGATGGATAATTAATAAAATGAATATTATGGAAATAATTAGGAATAATTATCTTAATAGATTATATTTTACTTATGGGAGTAATTATCTTCCTAATTAAAATATGACTTATTCCCAAAGAAAGAGGGAATATTCTGGGTTTTCTGCTCCTATAAATAGGAGACGCCCCAGACCCTCTAAACACACCTCAGATGAGCAACAAATCAGAATGGTTGTTTTATCCTGGAGGCGACCGGCTGATAGTCTGTTGTGCGCAATACGAAGCAGTGCCGCGAACGTCTTAAAGAGAGCAACCTAGTCCGCGACTCAGCCAGATCGGTAACCCTAATTTTTCCTGTTCGATTTCTAACATGCCCAATCAACGAATTCATAAAACGATGAACGAGCTGAAGAAGACTAGTGATAGGTAAAGCAGGGCACAAACCCAAGCTCGATACGTCCACGGTGACGGTGATGATGCGGCGACGGGAGCAGAATAATTTTTACCAAGAATGAGGGCTTTGCAATCGGGCATACAAGGATTGGGAGCAATGTTGCAATCATCAATGACGGCAAGTGGCTTGAGGGGATTGATATTAGGGTTCACGACAAGCGTGGCGACGTAGTAGATCTCGCACACACACTCCGGCAGGTTTCTCGCTACCGACCTCATCGCCGGGCATCAATATTCAGCCGGATCGGTATCTGATTCGTCCCTCAGGTAACCCTCGCAGCCTATTATTAATTTCTGCCCCGACTTGATGCAGGAAATTTGTTCTTGCGGATGATGACTGGGCGTCGACGACGTGGAGTTGGAGATGGGCGGCTGCGTGTGGACGTGGCGGTTGTTGTTGGCGGCGTAATTACTGCTAAGGCGACGGCGAGGGCGAGGGCGAGGGCGATGAGAAATCGGTTCGTCAAACTCCTCGATACCATTGTAATTGACTTCATTGTAATTTTCGTTTTAGGGTTGTGACTTGTGAGGGAGTCGGGTATTTAAATCGGGAAGGGGAGGCTAGGTGTCGGACGAGGAATTGTAACGGATCAATTTGACACAATTGTTTCGTTTTGACATAATTGTACCAAATTGCCTCGTTTGCCAGCAAAAAATTTGGATGGATCAATCTGCCTAATGTATTTTGAATTGATCCGTTTTGAGTTAATTTCAATTACCTGGGGTGGGGGCAGGTAATTCGAATTGACTTGTTTTAATTGTCTCCTTTATAAACGAGACAATTGATCAAATTGACTAATTTCTAGATTGATCCATCCAAACGACCCCATAGTTCTTTTTTTAATTAATTATTTGTCCCATGCATATCAATTTAATAACTTGAACAAAAAGTCCAAAAGATGGGAAGTGGATTGGGTGCTAACACCTTTAAAAATTAGCATCATACTAACACATTCATTAATGTTATTATAGTATTTTAATTCTTCTCCTTTTTCCCTTCCATTCTCCTCCCCTTCCATTCACGTTAATTTTACATGTTCTATTTAAAAATTACAGCCTTGGTATCTGAACTTAATATGTATTAATATTTAGTACCTAATTTTTTTTTAATTCGAGTACTAAAAATATTTATGAAAATTATATTTTAGTACCTGAATTTTTTTTTCTTACATTTTGGTACTTAAACTTTTTCAAATTTACAAACAGGTCCACTACTAGTGGCATGCTTAATAAATTTGTGGCATGCTTGAGGAGGTGTTAGCATCATACTAACAAAATAGGTGTTAGCACCCTAGCCCCTCCCAGTCCAAGTGTGGGAGAGATAACGTACAATTTTTTTATAGATACGATAAAAATATAACATGCAACTTTCAAAGTGTCAATTTAGGTTTGGAGACATAGGGGTGGTTTGGAATAGCGATTTGTTTATAGTGGGATCTGAGCCCAAAATCCATATTCAACAGATCGCAGAGGAGGAGGAGAGCGGCGTCAAGGCCACGATGGTGGAAGGCGGCGGTTGTGGTGGGTGGTCAGGTGAAGTCAAGTTGGGTTGGGTTAGGATTATTATTAGGTTGGGTTATGCAAAGGGTCTGACGTGGCAGGTTAAAAATGAGCGAATCAACATTTCTATTAGCCACGTCAACAAAATACAGACAGTGTTAACGGAGACTAACAAAGAGTGAGAAGTGACATGTTTAATCACTTTTATTGACTACGAATAGAATAAAATACTTTTGGTGATCAAACATGAATTTTTTAATACCTCCAGTGACCAAACTTGCAATTTATCCAATAATTAATTAAACAAAAAACTATACATCTTGGCTTATCTTTCCAAAACGATGGCAAACAATGATTGGAATAGTTTGTAGCTTATCTTTCCAAAACTATGTCATATCCCGCTACTCTATATTCGACTCGATCCTTTGTTATGCTCTTCACCATTGTTGGCTACCACTACAAAAAAGAGGATGTTTGGGGACGACAAAAGTTGTCCCCGGAGATAGGTAAAATCGTCCCTATAGTTGTGGGGGACGAATAAGCCGTCCCTAATGAGTGGTTCCCTATACTCTTGTCCTCTATTCTTTTGGGGACGACAAAAAGCTAGGTCGTCCCCATTAGTAGGGACGACAGTCGTCCCCGATACTCGCAAGTTCTCGTCTCGATTCTTTTCTATGAAAGACAACATGTCGTCCCAATAGCCATAACTTTAGCGACAATAAGTCGTCCCCTAAACATCATTTTTAGCGACAAATTGATGTCCCCAATAATAAATTTGATGATTGTGATGGGCCTATATGGGGATAATATGTAGTCCCCTTTTCTTTTTATAGGGTTGACATATCGTTCCCATAGATATCAAATTAGAGTCCAAAAATCGTTCCCAAAAAGTTTATTCAAGGACTACGAGTGGTCTCTTATAGTAGATCTTTAGAGACGACAAGCTGTCACCAGTGATTTTTGGGGACGAGCAATTGTCCCTTAACTTATCTATTAGGGGACGAGGAGTTGTCACTTATTCACCTTCTAGTAATGACTAATTGTCCCATATGTAACTCATATGAACTACTTGTTGTCCTTTAACGCGTGTATTTGGGAACAAATAATTGTCACAAGTTTCACTGATGGGGACGATCAATTGTCCCTTAACTTGAACTTTTGGGACACTTTATTGTCACCTATTTAACTGGTAGGGACAACCAATCATCCCTTAAGCAGTGTCTTCAGGGGTGTCACCTATATAATTGGTGGAGCTTTTAGGAATGACATTGTATCTAATTTAACTCAATATAGTAAAATGTCAAAAAAATCATCTCTATAGAAAATTAAAACAAAACTACCACAACGACATCTCATACAATGCTAGGAAAACAAACATTAATCTTTTGATAGGTTAATATTCTCTAATAAGACTAGGAAAAAACTCAGACAGAAGTAGATAACAATTTCTGAATCCTCAATTTCTTCTATTATCTCTCTAACAAAAAAAAAATGTACCAATGTCAATCTCTGTATATCACACCATGTTCCGTCCAACAAACATTTCTCTTCTCTTAGCTCCTGAAAGTGAAATAAGACAAAATTTCAAAGTTAAATATACGAGACCGACATCAATTTAATCAAATGGAAGCATGGACACAACTTATATAAGAAAAGTAGGGGTGTGACATAGAAAAGAAAAGCTAGTGAATTCCTTTGTATATGCCTCGACTACCTATATGACCTTTGGATGTATCTAGTTGTATATATGTTTGAAATAACCAATAGTAAAATAATGCATACAAGCTAGAAAGAAGACCTAGAAAACTTATTGATTTCCAGAATTGGTGTAATGGACAGTACGAGTCCTATTGGTGCAAGAATATGAATGAATAAAAGGCCAGCTACATAGCTAAAGAAGAAACATGCTCATTCAGTGTATTTCATTGGTAGCTTCAACACACATGGCAAAACAAAATCCATTTTAATTTTTTTATCTTAAACAACTTCAGAGATGAACTTTGTTACCTTCCACATTCAATGACTGATGTTCTTCACTACCAGGTGCGGGCAAATTGGATTGCAGAATAGTGCAAGGCACTTCAGTTTCCGGAACATGGGGACATGTTTTCAATTTATGTGTCTGTACATATGAGCGTAGGACCTCTTCTAAGTTTCACTCTTCTGTTGATTGCTCGGACCATAGCTGCAAAAACAATTTACTAGCATGGTTAGAACGAAATCTGAAAATAGAAGATTCAAATATATAGAGCCACATCTATTTGCCTCCAATCCAATAAATAAATGCAAAACAGAATTAACAAAGAAGCTAAAAAGAACACCGTTAGTTAATGGTCTTGACCGTCCAACATAATTGGCTAGTTTGGCTCTGCTAACTGTTGGAGTAGTTTCTGGCTGAAGTTTTTAGATAAGTATTTAAAAAAAAAACAAATAGTTGTGTGTTTGGCTTAAACACTATTAGAAGTTCTTTTTAATATAAGAGGTTATGTAAAATGAGTATAAGAATTTATAACATAAAATATGAATAAATATTCTAAACAATAAAAAGTAGTAAAAATGGATCTTGTTAGATTTCTTTTAAATTAAATAATATGATCATATATTTTATTTTATTTTAAAATAATATAAACGAAATAAAATTATTTTTTCTGACATAAAATTCAAATATGGTAAGGATAACCTTGTTTTTTCAAAAAAGTTTTTCATAGAAGCTCCAAATAGAGCTTGTGTTTTTAACTTTTTATGTTATACAAAGTAACTTTTCAACCTTTTAAAAGTCGAACTTTTAGAGGTGTTTGGCCCTCCTTCAAATTTTGAAGTCGAAAAACACTTCTAAAGATCGGGCCAAACATAGGCAATGGTCAACTCTCGGGTTGGCCAAATAAATAAAGTTTAACTTGATAGTCTCTCTTGGGGACAAAAATATATCTATTAATCCGCCACTTAAAAAATACCACCCTATTAATCAGTCTTTCTTATAATTGTAAATCGGCTGCAACTTCTTTTTTTTTCCCGTTGAATTCGGCTGCAACTTCTACTTTCTCCAAACTAATTTTTTTGGGTACAGCTAAAAGGATTCTAAACTAATTAAATATTGATGGCTTATTTTGTAGGGACAATTTTATACAGTTGTCCCTTGTATTACTTAGATTTACATTTCCGGAGACATACTATAACAGTCGTCCCCATTTATTTGTCCCTAATGCTTCCTAATTTTGTAGTGACCATCCACAACCCACGACTTCTATAAACTTAAGAAATTATGATATAATTTGCTTGTTGTTTGATAAGTGCTTTTTAAGTTATTAATAATTTGAAATTGAATTCAACAAAAAATCAAATAAAATTGTCATTACCATTGAATATTGCTATTTACGTTAAAACGCTTCAGCGTGCGCTAGGCACTACCACAACATCTGCCTAGCACCTAATGCTTTCTCGAACCTTGATATATATATAGATAGTGTATTTGTAGGTTCATTTTGATCTTTTCGATAGTTTTCAGTGTTTAAACTGATTTAATGGGTGTGATTGTTGAGAGGCTGCAAAGTATCTTGTCTTTGTTAGCCTATGCTTATTGAAAATTTTAATTTAACCATAAGAATAATAAATATTTCTATGATTATGTGATGACATTAACTTGATAAATTAGCTAGTGGCATTATTACATCGCTACGGCAGCACAATCATGAATCATGATCTTTCTCGATGTACAAACG